AGCCCTCTGGAATTATCCAGTGCCACTCTTGGCAACTGAAATGTCTGCCATGTTGTTTTGAAGTGAACTGGTCTGTCTCCTCCGCTTCTCGCAGCACGTTTGCCTTTCAAAGTTGTGCAGATTTGGTTCTTGCTAGCTAGCATGTTGAGGTCATTTTAAGTCTGTTTACAAATTTGCTATGCTCACTTTTTCCAGAATTCCAAACTTCTCTATGTTTCTAGACTTTCATTAAGGCAGGAAGTTATGGGGTTAAAGACAGAAATTGGCTTATAATCAATGTCCCTAATCTAAGTCATCTGCCATTTCCATACTCACTTCCAGCACAGAGACCAGAAACCGTCAGTTATTTATTTGACTTAAATGTATTTTCCCCATCTTTCTTCATCTGGTATTGGTGTTCGTGGTCAGTGAGTAGACTATAGAAACCTGGGCAGCATCCTTCTTCCCTCCCTTCCAACCTTTTCCCCTCTGATATTAAGAAAAGCAGAGTTATTGAATGGTTGCCCTCTTGTGTTTTCTAAATTATAATTGGATTTCTTATTGCAATAATAATTTAATAACAGGGCTGGGAAGGTGGCTCAGTGGTAGAGCGCTTGCCTTGCATGCATGAGGCCCCGGGTTCGATTCCTCAGCACCACATAAGCAAAAAGAAAAAAGTTGGAAGTGGCACTGTGGCTCAAGTGGTAGAGCGCTAGCCTTGAGCTGAAGAGCTGAGGGACAGCACCCAGGCCCAGAGTTCAGGCCCCACGACAGGACACCACCCCCCAAAAAATAATTTAATAACATTGTGGGCATTTATGTTACATATGCCTTTCAAAAAGTACTCTTGTGGGGGCTGGGGTGTAGATCAGCGGAAGGGTGTCCGCCTGGTGAGTGCAAGGCCCTGGGTTTGGTCCTCAGCCCTGGAAAAAAAAAAAGAAAAAAAAAGTACTCTTGTGTTTTTATCTAAAGTAGGCATGGCAGCTCAGAAAGGGGACTTGCCCCGAGCAAGAAGTCATGCCAAGGCCAGAGTTTTGATTTTATGAGTGTGTGTGTGTGTGTGTGTGTGTGTGTGTGTGTGTATACTCCAGTATTGGGACTTGAACTCAGGGCCTTGTGTTCTCACTGAGCTTGCTTGCTTATGATTGGCATGCAATCACTTGAGTCACACCTCCAGTCCAGTATTCTGCTGATTAATAAGAGGTGGGATCTTGCATATTTTTCTGCCTGGTTTGGTACTGAATGTTGATCTTCCAGCTCTAACCCTCCTGAGCAGCTAGTATTATAGATGTATTCCACCAGCACCCAGCTAAGGTAAGGTTTTGAACTTGGCATTTTGACTCTCCATTCAACAAAGCAAGGTGGTAGTTGGAAGGAGTAAGCTGTAAGATTTGTGGCATTTCTGGACGAGGCGGTAGGGAGAAGGAAGCCGAACCCCATCAGTTAGCCTGGTCTTGCCTGTCTCTGAATTCAGTTCTAAAAACAACAGAAGAGCTGGGACATTGGGTTCCACAATTAAATTTTCCCAAAGGGAAGGCTCAATTTCTAAAAGTCTAATCTACCTTTAACAATTCCAAAAATCTCTGAATCTAAACTAGGTTCTCTTAACTCACCTCACTCCCCTTCCCAACCCAACTAGAAAATGTGAGTGGGCTGAGAAAGAACAGAAAAGATAGATCAAAACTCTGACAACCCTCTGACAACAACTTAACTCGAAAATTGCCTCCAAATTGATGGCATAATTCTGCATAGGCTGATGTAAATCAAGCACAGATTTAGCCAGATCTTTCTTGATTTTATTTCCTAACCCACAAGTTGATGAGCCAGGTGACTAGGACCAATCTTGGAAAAGGCCACCTTTGAGTGCCCAGGGGAATATGACCTTTCCTCTTCTGACTCCACCTCCAAGGTGAGTCCCACTTCTGATCCTCACCAAATTGGATCTAGCTTATTCTTAAGTGATGGCTTCTTTGGCATGTCCCACCTCCAGACTCAGTGAGCAAAAACAGGTGCTCATCCTCAGTTCCTGAGTTCCCACTGCAATCAGAAAAAAGGTCCTCTTTTTCTTCTCTGGGGTACATTTCAGGGGGTGTAAGCAGCTCATTTCTTCTTCCCAGGAGCCCCCCATCGATGTTCTGTTATTATTTGCCACCCCATGTTCAACACATAGAACTGTAGGTTGACCCAGTTCCTCAGCCCCCTGTGATACTTCCTATAGGAAAGGGAGGATGTAAACAGAAGAGCTACAAAGGTAGGGTTTGAGGAGGGTGGCTTCTAGAAGAAAAGCGGAGAAAGCCTTTGGAGGGCCCTCTCTCCAGGGAGCCAAGGATGAGCCAAGACCTAGCTTGAGCCTGGCCACTGCTCTGAAGCCTCCCTGGGCCTCTGACCATAGCTGCTTAGAGAAGCTGGGCCCCATGTGTTCAGAACAGGCCTGGATAAACCATTTTGTCTACTCCAGCCCTTTGGAAGGGGCAGGGAGAGGACCTGAGCGCCCTGAGATAAAGCTGTAGGGCTGGCCCAGGGCAGTGGGCACAGAGGCTGACATCCATCTGATCTGTGGGCTGGGAAGCTGCTCATGCTCCTCTCTGGTCCTTACCTCTTCTGGTAGGCTGCTGCCATGGACACTTCCTCTTGCTGAAGTGGGTGCTTCCCATGATGTGTGTGTGTACATTCCTGTGTTCTCATAATCAGAGGAATGACACAGACCAATGTGTCAGGGGCATGTGTGTTCTCACCTGTTCAGAGTAGAGGACCACATGGAGGAGCCCATGGAGATAGGACACTGCGCCCTGGGGACCTGAGGGGTCCTGGACTCCACAGATGGGCCAGGCCTCTCCCAGACAGGAGTTAGGACGCAGCTGTACCCAGGAATCCCTTCCCAAGCCTCTTGCCCTGACCTCTCCAACTCTGTAGCCCAGCTCTCAGAGACCCCAGAACAGGCCGAAGCACTACGGTGTCATTCTTTCTAACCTTTGTGTTCTTTTTCTGGCCTTCTACCAGTTGGTCATGAGGGCCAACAGTGACCTTGCTCCCCAGCATCCTCAGACACAAGCCAGGTCACTTTTCTGCTCTCAGCCCATGGCCAGCACAGACATAAGTATGTAGGCAGGAAGGAGCCAATGTGAGCAGGGGTGGACTGCATTTATGCAGAACTTCTTAGCCCTAGATGTCTGTAAGAGCCTATAAGAATGACTGCTCCAGCCAGGCGCTGATGGTTCATGCCTGTAATTCTAGCTACACAGGAGGCTGAGATCTGAGGATCTCGGTTCAAAGCCAGCCCGGGCAGGAAAGTCTGTGAGACTCTTATCTCCAATAAACCACTAGAAAACCAGAAGTGGGGGCTGGGAAGGTGGCTCAGTGGTAGAGCGCTTGCCTTGAATGCCTGAGGCCCTGGGTTCGATTCCTCAGCACCACATAAGCAAAAAGGAAAAAAGCTGGAAGTGGCGCTGTGACTCAAGGTGGTAGAGCACTTGCCTTGAGATGAAGAGCACAGGGACAGCGCCCAAACCCAGAGTTCAAGCCCCACGACCAACCAAAAAAATAAAAAGAATGACTGCTCCAGTTAAACTAGGGTCTCTGGCAAGGGGCCCAAGCTTCAGCGTTTCTCAGAGCTTTCTAGATTGTTCTCTGTGAAAAGAACTTCTGACTGATGAAATAGTGAAAAATAGCTAAATTAACTTTATGTATTGGTATAAAAAAGGTAGAATGTCAGGCCCAGAGTTCAAGCCCCACAACTGGCAAAAATAATACGGGGCTGGGAAGGTGGCTCAGCGGTAGAGTGCTTGCCTCACATGTGTGAGGCCCTGGGTTCGATTCCTCAGCACCAGATAAGCAGAAAAAGTTGGAAGTGGCACTGTGGCTCAAGTGGTAGAGCGCTAGCCTTGAGCTGAAGAGCTCAGGGACAGCACTCAGGCCCAGAGTTCAGGCCCTACAACTGACAATAAAAAAAGGTAGAACAATGTGCAATAGAGAAGCTACAGATATAGCTTCATGCTTGCCTAGCATTTACAAGGCTCTGAGTTCAACACCCAAGAAGACAAAAACAGATGTACAATAGTGTGAAAGGACATTCAGAAAAGTCAGTGTTTTTCTAGATGCAGGCAGCCTACTATATCAGGAAGGGTCAGATGTATCTCCTGGAGTTGTAATGCTTCATTTCTTAAGTAGAGTGTTAGGACATTACATTCATACTTTTTTGTTGGTTGCAATACTTTATCAATTAATGAATAGAGCATGGATTTTGCAAACAGACAAACCAGGTTTTAAGTATACTGCCACTTACTGTGTGAGCTGGAGCAAGGACTTAACCCCTCTGAGCTTGTTAATCATCTATAAAACAGGACTGCCAGAGCTGTGTGAGCATTACTTTCAAAGTTCTACCCCTCCTTTCCCAAGTCCCATCCTGAATGAGACTAAAGCATAGGCCAACTTCACCATCACAGGAGGGTGACACCACCTCCTCAGGCCATGTCAGAGGAAGACACTACATTCCTAACAGGTTTTGAGGTAGGAGGAAGGGAAGATGTGATTTCAGAGAAGGCAGTTTAGCCCCAGCCCAGATCTGTTTCCAGATACCTCTGTGGCTTCTCAGCTGAGAACTGGAATAGGGTCAGGGACGGTGGACAGATTTCAGGGATCGCCTACAGAAATCCTCTTCCTCAAAGGCCAGGAAGGTGATGAGGGAAGCCAGCTTCTCTTTACCATGAAAACCTAGGAGCAGAAGGGTCAGGTTCCCTGAGAGGGGAAGCAGTTGGGTACAGGATCCCTTCCTCCAGTGCTACTTGTAAGGGCTGGGATTTCCCAGAGAACTGAAGATGTGGGGCTCTCTCCACTTGAGTACGGGTGTGATACAGAAGCTGACTCCAGGAGAATATGTGCCTGGAGGCCTCCAGGGCAGGCATTGTGTTTCTGTCTGCCTGCGCATCTGTACATGCCCACACACAGTCCACACACAGCCCATGTGTGTACACCAGAGTCTGGCTATAGAGTGGGGAAAGGAACTCAGACACCATTCTCATTGGACAGCTTAAAACACGATGTGGCTCATTTTTATTTCATCTCAGAAAAAAACAAACACTCCCTTTAGAAGGAAAGGCCGGTTTGATAGGGCCTCTCTGGAGGCAGCTCTGAACTGCCCAGGCTCCAGGCTCCAGGCTCCAGCCCCCCTGGGACCTGAGCCCATGCTCTGGCATCGTTCTTGTTACAACTTGTCCTCCAGTCCACTTTCATCACCCCCAAGAGATGGCCCTGGGCGTTCAGTGCACAGCCGTGGTTGACAATAGGAGAGGGCTGCCTGAGACTCCCTGGCATCCTCCCAAGGCCAGGTTAGCAGCAGGACAGGCAACAGACCCAGAAGCCAGGGAGAGGAAGATAATAAAATAGAAAGGATTTCCTCACACTCATATCTTCTGGGGAAAAAAAAATTAGTCAAATGCCACCTCCAGGCCAGCAGCTTCTTGAGCCCTAGGAAGTCTGAGAAGGGTGGCGTGCGTGTGACAGGAGGTTTGCTGCAGGCCAGTCCACTAAGCCATGGCAGCTCTGCAGAGACCTACTGGGACTTCCAGAGGCATCTGGAGTGGAAGACTGGGCCCTGCCCAGTGAAGAGGCCGCTGGGGCTGCAGCCCCGGCCTCGCAGCATGAAACATCTACTTTCTCAGGCTTCAGGCCAGACTTGCTGGGCCTCATGCTACGCCAGCTTGGGGCTCCTTCCTCTCCATTCAAAGTGGTTACCAGATGCCTGATGGCTCTCATGGCACGCTTACTCTTCTCCCAACGTGACTGGTCCAGCCAAGAAAGACAATGATTTGCTTCCCTCAGGAAGGGGCAAACTCCATGGACCATCAGGATATTCCTGCTCTGCCCTGGGCCAGGGGGTCCTCTTTGCCAGACAACTCTGGGCAAGGTCTTTTGTGCTCATAGCTAAGGAGCTCCACATCCTCGAGGCTCACATCCTGGTGGGCTTCCTGGACACTCGCTCCACTCACCAGCCCTAGGGCATAGCCATTGGGCCGCCGCTCAGGATGGGGACCGCTGCCATTGGCCCACACCCCAGGGGGATGGCCATTGAGACGGAGGCTGGCCTGCTCTCCTTCAGCACTGTGAGCTGCCAAAGCCCGAGCGCTGGTGCCCCCTGCCTTGAAGGGTTCCTGCCTCCTCAGGACGTGACTTCGAATGATCTTGCGGAAGGTGTGACGAAACTCACGGATCCGGTAGGCGTAGATGAAGGGATTGACAACAGAATTGCTGTGCGAAAGGACAATAGCCAGGTACATGAGCCAGAGAGGGGCATGGCTGCACGTGGGACAGAAGAAGGTGAAGCAGTTGATGATGTGCAGGGGCAGCCAGCAGAGGGCGAAGAGTCCCACAATGATGGCCAATGACTTGGCTGCATGGACCTCCTTCTGAAGTGTGGACCGGGTCCGCTCCCCTGGCAGGGGCTGGCTCTCCATCTGTTTCAGCTGTCGCCGGGCTGCCAGAAAGATCCGCAGGTAGATGCCCAGCATGAGCAGCAGGGGCACTAAGACGAAAGCGAAGAAGTTGTAGTATACCATGTAGTTCATTGGCACCACGTCCTCAAAAAGACACGTCACCTGGCCTTCACCACAAGAGGAGTTCCTGCCCTCCTTCAGCAGGCTGCAGTTGTTCCAGCCTAGCATGGGTGTCAGGCCGATGGCAAATGAGAGCACCCAGCAGATGGCAATGATGCCCTTGGCCCTCGTGCAGGTCACCAAGCTGTTGTACCTGGAGAGAGACCAGCATTAGAACACTAAGAATCCAGGACTAGGCAGAGCCAATAGTCAAGAAACCCAGAGAAAAGCAAGGCGCCAGTGGCTAACGCCTGTAATCGTAGCTACTCAGGAGGCTGAGATCTGAGAATTGTGGTTCAAAGCCAGCCCAGGCAGGAAAGTCCATAAGAATCTTATCTCCAACTAAACACCAGAAAACCGGAAGTAGCACTGTGGCTCAAAGTGGTAGAGTACTAGTCTTGAGCGGAAAAAGGTAAGAGACAGTGCCTAGGCCCCGAGTTTAAACCCCACAACTAACAATAAGAAAAAGAAAAAGGAAAAGGAAAGGGAAAGGGGAAGGGAAAGGGAAAGGGAAAGGGAAAGGGAAAGAGAAAGGGAAAGGGAAAGGGAAAGGGGAAGGGGAGAGAAAAATCCAGAGAAGGCACCAGATGAGTTCCCCATTTATTGGCTAAAAGGTTTTCTTTGCAGCACCCAGAATAGGTACTTCCTGAGGATGCTTCAGTATCCTCTTTTAAGTGAGGTAGTGGGCCTTGCCTTTCTCACAGGCTGTCGTGGGCCAGGAGTAGATAACAAGTAGATAACAGAGCAGGCACCCTGGAAATGGAAACTACTGTACAAATGTTGAGATAATCAGATAATCCTGAGACTTAATTTGAATTTGATTTAAGTGATTTGGGGGGAAGGGGAAGAAGAACGGCACCCAAGTTGGTTGATCTTGGTTTCCCCATCCCTTCCAGGGGTGGGACATTTTTTCTATAAAGGGACATTTGGGTATTTATATAATTTACAGACCATACAAAATTATAATGCAGGCAAATTGGCTGCTGGAAACTGACCAAAAGCATACATGTCTGTATTGTCAGGTACCAATTATTTCAAGGGCCTTATAAGGGCCATTTGTTCCCCACCCCTTCATGGAGGGGTCTGGTGGGTGGGCTCATTGCCACTTGAGACCTGTAGCTAATCTGAGCTTCTGTTCACCAAGCTCTTTCTTCCTCATTTGACTTAAGTATCCTGAGTGGAGACAGGGAATGGAAGTGCCAAGTCGAATGAGATACCATCTCCCCAGCAAATCTACTCACAGACTCTATAGAGAAATAAGATAATTATGTCTTGACATTTATCTGGCAATCTTAATAGTCTTAAAGAAAATAATTGGATGAGGGTTTAAGGTTCAGACAATGACAATAATCTTCTTGAAATCACTCAGTTTTCCTAAGAGCCAGATAAAAATCCAAGTCTGCTCATTACAAATCCAAGACTCAGAATGGGTTGATCTACCCAAGATGCAGCTTCAGCCCCTTGTAAAGGCATCCGGGTTTTTGTTGTTGTTGTTGTTGTTTGTTGGCGGTGGGGTTGGAACTTAGGGCCTGGGTACTGTCCCTGAGCTTTTTTGCTCAAGGCTAGTGCTCTACCACTTTGAGTCACCAGTTCACTTCAGTTTTCTGATGGTTAATTGGAGATAAGAGTCTCACAGGCTCTCCTGCAGGGACTTGCTTTGAACTCAGCCTCCTGAGTTGTTAGGATTAACAGTCATGAGCCACTAGGTCAGGTAAAGCATCAGTTCTGCAAAAGAGTGGGTACCCTAAAAAGTCTCCCTGATGGAAAAAGGCAACCTCCGTGTTCTCTGAAGTATGAGCTTCTGCTTACTAGTTTTCATTCTGGCAAAACCAGAGTAGCCTCTCCACCTGGTGGACACCCCACCCAGCCTTCAAGCTCAGGCTGTATATTTCCTCAGAGAAGTTTTCTGCCTCATCTGGGCTCAAGAGATGGGGGGGCTCCTTGGAAGTAGGGCTCTCTTGCATCCATCTGCAAGTGCCAACTTTTAGACAGGACGACGCAGGAGATGACAAGGGAAAATGCATCCAGCAAGGACTGAGTCTATTGGTGGCAAATATAGGTGCCTACAGGTAATAAATGTGACGCAGTCTGGTGTGCATTTACCCTTGGTTGCCATGTACAACATTTGCTTAGCTTGCATGAGGCCCGGGTTCCATCCTTAGCACACAAGGGGAAAAAAGGCTGAGCAGGTGGCTCATACCTATCATCCTAGCTACTCAGGAGGCTGTTATCTGGAGAATTGCTGTTCCAGACCAACCTGAACAAAAGTAGACTTCATAACTAAAATAACCAGCAAAAAGCTGGGCTGGAGGTATGTCACAAGTGGTAGAATGCCAGCCTACCAAGTGCAAGGCCCCCCACATTCAAACTTCGGCATTGTCAAAAAAAAAAAAAGTGCCTTTATTTTGTCAGATCTCAAGAGTGCCTGGGCAGCTTATGTTCTGGGGAAAAAAATCTCCCAAGTTTTAAACATTTTTAGATAATTAAAATATAAAATGAATTTTAAAAAAAGACAACCTAGTAGCATCTGATATCTAGTCCATAGTTCACCTCTTATTTTACAAATGGGGAAACCATAGCAAAAAGTGAGGAATAGACGTGAACATGTAGGCACCCAGTTGGTTGAGTTGTGTGAGGCAATGTAGACCCAAGTAAACTCATTGGTTCTGAATCTGGGTTTGAACTCAGGGCTTTGTATTATGGGCGATGCCTACAGTCCATCTCTGGTTTTGTTTGTTTTGTGCCAGTCCTGGGGCTTGAACTCAGGGCCTGGGCACTGTGCCTGAGGCTAGCACTCTACCACTTGAGCCACAGCACCACTTCTGGCTTTTACTGTTTATGTGGAATCGAACCCAGAGTTTCATGCATGCTAGGCAAGCACTCTAAAACTGAGCAACATTCCCAGCCCTGTTCTCATTTTTTTGAGGTGCTACTACAGATTAAACCCAGCATCTTGTACAAGGCAGGTTAGAACTCTAGTGCTGAGCTATAACTCCAGCCCTGTCCATTCAGAACAGTTACTAGGCAGATTTATTTTCACAAGCTCCCCAGGCCCACACAACAAGGGCTTAGCCATCTTCAGCAAGGCCTCTACACGAGGAGGGCTATGGACTTGACCTTTTCTACCAACCAACGTAGAACCTACACTTTGTCTCCTGTTCTAGCAACTCAAACATGAGCCTCATACCTACATAGCACACATCTCTGTGCCTCAGCACTTTTCACTGTTCTCAATATTCTACAAAAGTACTTAGCCTTCATTGAAGAGGAAGCTCCAATATGTTAACATCTTTCCTGAGAAAAGCATAGCCCTCCCTGGATTCTGGTCCTGTTCCATCCCTATAAATAAGGAACATAATTGTCATTTCACCTCTCTGGGCCTCAGTGGCCTCATGTTTAAAACGGAACTTAGAATCCTGGGCCCATCAGCACTGCCCCATAAGTGCAGACTGCACCCAAGGGTAGGTAAATGCTTTTCACCTGAGCTGTTCACAGGGAAATGGGGTGCCATGGGCCCCATTCTTGCCATCCCAGGCTATCAAGCAGAAGCAAGCAGCTACACTGACGGTGAAGGGGCCACCTGCTGGAGAAAGGGAGGTGGGCAAGTTGCTGGAGAAAGCAGGGCTGGCCACAGCATGGACCTCCCTATGTGTCCATTTATCTCCTTTTACAGAAGAAAGACTCCACCAGGGAAAGTCTCCTACTGCATAATGAAAGTCTTTTGTGGCCATACAAACAAATACATGAGTAGTGCTTGCCTGGATGGGCAAAAATCTCAGGGTAGGAGAGATTGATATATTTTTTTCTTTATGTTTGTATACATACATAGTTTACTTTTTTACAAAAACACTAACAAAGCTGGGGGGTGTAGCTCAAGTGCTAATAATGTTTGCCTAGCATGTGCAAGGCAGTCTCTACATGCATACACATGCATGCACACACATGCATGTACACACACGCGTGCAAATGTGTGTGGGGGGGGGTAGATGCATTTTGTTTTTGTCAAAAGAAAGCCTCTTCATGGCTCAAGTGATAGGACACCAACCCTAAGCCAGAAAGCTGAGTGCGAACACGGAGCCCTGAGTTTAAAGCCCAATATTGACTTACAAAAAAAATACTTAAAAAATTAAAAACAAAAAAACAAGAAAAGAAAGCCTCTTGGGCTGAGAGTCCTACACCCAAATGGGGGCCTGGGACAGCATCAGGGCCCAAATGGAACTATGACCAAACCATGCAGGTCCCAGAAGCATCTCCCAGGCTGTGACTAACATGGTCACCTCCTGACCTTCTGGGACCTCACACATAGACTGTCCAGCTAGAAGAAATATCAAAGCTATCTCATACTCTAGAGGACTGAGAAGTATTATAGGATGCAGCTGCCAAAGCTGCTACCAGTTCCCGTTTTCAGATTGTCCTCCAGTTGGACCCCAACTTCCCTTCCTGGGGATCTAGATTACCCACACTGGGGGCTCAGCCTATGGTCCAGAAACATATCCCACAACTTGAAGTTTCACATGCATCTGTACTACTTTGAGACAGCAGAATTTCCCTAAGTTATTCTAAGGGGCCAGTGATCCAAGAATTGAAGAACCTCTGACCCAATGGGGAAATCAAGCCTAACTCAGCCTTCTATCTCTCTGCCTACTTATCTCCTATCACTCAGAGCCAGGCTACCTCTCCTGTTCCTGTTCCTACAGACTCATTCTTTCCTCAGGAGGCTCTGTGGTCCTGCTGACACACTGGAGACCCATACATCTGAATGCCTATCAGGAGACATATCTTCCTCTGTGGTTATTCAAAGGTTACCTGAAAAAGAAAACCCTTGTATCTGGCCCTGGGCTTTTCATCTCCTCTATGGACATCAAGAGATGTATCTCTGCCTCTAGCTCTGATTTTCTCACCTGCCCTAGCTCAACAGTGTCCTTACATTTGGGAGAGAGGAGATAGATTGTACTAAAGTTGAGTTCTTAAAAAAAAAAGTTACCACGGTGCATTAATTGGAGTTACTAGGCATAACAGACTTCATAACAGCCCTTCAGACCTTGCCAGTGGAGCAGGAACTGGCTTCCTAGCTGTGAGAGGATGGAGGAAGAAAGGAGCCCAAGCCAGACAGCACCCCTGTAACCAGCCAAGAGATACTGGTTCTCATGGGCT